TATCAAACTGCAGAAGGATTGGTACACGTGAATTTTCTCTCTTTGAAACAAGGCCATGTACTGAACATTGCAATAATAAACAAATGAGGCTATGCTGAATTACACTAATTAATTATGCACAAGCATCCCTATATTTGGTCTGCTTTATGTGGGCTCCTGTCAATGGAAGTGGTGTCTAGAACCTAAAATAAGATGAATACTCCTGGTTATCTTCAAAATACTAGCACAGGCTCTTATGTTGTATGGAAAGCCTGCAGTCTTTTGGATTACTTTATTCTCAGTTCATTCACTTAGGGGAATTAAATAAGTGATTTATAAAAAACATTTAATGTTTACTATATCTCTCTATAATTTTGGCATAGAACATAATGGGAAAGAATGTGTATTATTTAATATATAGTTAAAGAAAACTTTTTTCTTCTCTTTCCTGTTGATAGGACTAAAATTGTGTTGCAAAAATGAAACAAATTGTTCCTGGAGAGTAGTTACTTAAAATGCATGGCAAAACTCTGTTCAGAAAAAAAATAATAGTTATTTTATTGCATTTTCCCTTTCAAAAGTGTTCATTATCACCTATGAAACAAACCAACCAAAATTAATAATGTCCCCAAATCTTATTTTAATTTAAATGGAGTTAAAAAGAAACTTAGTGATACCTGAGGTTTATATTTTGCATTTGATGCACTTAGTCTGTTTTTATCATTCCACAAATGACTGCACAAGGTTATGAATTTATTAGGAGAGGTAGATTTGCCACCAACAGAAAATTTTGGAAATATTTGGTCAGTAAAAAGGCCAATTATGCTTGCAACAACATATCAGGAATGTCACTGCCCTGCCAGCATCTGCTGCTTCTGCTTTCACACCGGCATTTTAGCATTAAGGTGGAAGGAAACTCCTTCCACCTACCCCAGAGAAGGAATAATGCCATGAAGGTGCTTTGAATGGGTTGTACGCAGTGTTGCAGTACAGAGGCCTCTAAAGCATGAGGTGCTTGAGTTAAAGGTACATTTGTGAATTGGGTGAAGGTGCCAACAGACATAGCGCACAGACCCCTCTGTCTATAGGCTATGATATTCTCCTGCTTCTAAAAACGCCATTCGGAGGATAGCAGCTTCTCTGCAGTTTGGCTCCTGCCACCGTTTGTTATGACTCTGGGCTGTTCCGCCTGGCTTTCCCTCAGTAAGCTTGTGCTGCAGCTGGAGTTTGGTCCAAGTCTTAAGGCAGTAATCGCACAGCCTTCTGCTTTAACTCAGAAAAAGATGCGCCGAAATTCTGTTTTATTTTGAAGAACAGCAACACAGGACTGGATCTGGGTGTGCAGCTCTTGGGACTGCAGTGCTTCAACAACTGAGCTGTGTCAGGCCTCCTGCACTCCTCACCACACAGGTGCAGGGCAGCAATCCAGGAAGCTCAACAGGCTCAAAACTCAGGCTAAAATTAATTTGGTTTTGATTTCCCTCCAGGAAAGGGCTTCCTGTGAGCTCTGTGTTCTCTGCAGGGCTATGCATGTGGTCACAGGTTATTATATTTTACGGGGTAACTCGACTGCAGATTGGATGGGCCACATTCAGAGGCAGTAAAAGACCTTTTGAGGCTTTCAAGGTGTGAGTGAGTCGTCCTGCATGGTTTGTGCTACTAGTGGAATTGGCCTAACGCTGTCATTTCTAGTCTTGCTCCAGATCCTTATTGTTCTTACCACCTCTATTCTTCTTTAGTATAGCCGTATATGTGGCTTTCCAAAATTGACAGTGCAAGGTTTTTGCTTCAGATTTTGACTTAGAAGGTGAGAATTTTGGAAATACTATTTCAGGAGGTGTTGTTCCTCAAAATGACATCTGAGTCACTAAGAGGAATAACCATTATGTAACGCATGTGGCAGTCATCTGGTTAGAAGACTGTAGCACGATGCTGGTATGACACATAATTCTATGGCTTCCTCCTCTGGGAAATAAATTACCAATTTTAGTGTATTTACGCAAACTGTAGACATATTTTTTGGCTGTGGTCTATCTCTCAGAGGAATCATGGCATTTAATTCAGACAATACAGAAAACTAAAACAGTGGGTGGATGGAGAAAGAAGGTCCATGTGGAATTAAAAAAACAAAAACAAAACAAACAACAACAACAACAACAACAAAACAATGGAAGATATTTTAAGGTATTACTATTCAAATTTACTTCTAGTCTTGAAAACACTATGAAAACTCAGTAAGAGCTGCAAAAACAAAACTGGTACAAGGGAGCAGAAAGAGATGACAACCAGAGTTTATACAAATAAAGAGAGGTCTCTTCATCATAAATGAAAAGGTCTAAGCTGTGAAATGCATGTAAACAGTCTGGTGTATTCATCACCTTCAGAGGTGTTAGAGGGGAAAATCATAACTGGACTTGAAACAAAGCAACCTTTACCATTTTATTACCATTTTATTTCAGGTTCATTCCACTTGGCTTACGCTTGCTCTTTAGATCTGAAATTGCTCCTGAGAATTCCTTCTTCTTGGGTTGTTTATTTCTTTTCTTTTAGCAAAAAAATGTGCCAATGTCAAAGGCAAATGCAGATAAAACTGAATTTTTAAAACTCGCCATGTTCTCAGTGACACACAATCACAATCTACAAACTGATTTTGTTTTTAGAGTACTTTCACTCCAAAGTCTAAGATACACCCAAGTCTAAGATGTATGACTCAGTGACTCAATTCAGGTGAGACTGACTTAGGAGCAGGAAATCATAAATTTAGGCTAGTTTTACAACATGCAAACAGTGAGAGATTTAGAGACAATCACTAGAGAAACTTTTAGTTCAGTTCAGTTGCTTGTGTTTTTTGTAGAAGAAAGGCCGTGGATGAACATAAGAGGTGGTGCTTTTGTCGCACCTTAAACTGCCTAAAGAGATGCATGTTTACATGTAAGGACTGGAACTATTAAAAAGTATATTTTAAAAAAATTATTGTTATTTTTTTCTGGTTGTTGAGTTATAACAAAGCAGTAGACCCATTTACAGAAGAGGATTGCTGATGAATAAAAAAAAATTACACAGGCACTTCTTTTTGGCCCGAGGCATATAGCATTTGTAACAAATTGAATTTCTGCACCTCATTCTACCATGATGGGATGAGTAGGTTGTTTCATGCATCGTAACTTCTTGGAGACTGGAATGCTGATTCTCATACTGGGAGAAGCTGGGAGAATACGGGTTGCTTAAATAGCTGGGAAGATATTAAACTTACCATGCCTTTGTGTAGTCCCCTGGGATAACAATTATTGTCCAGCCTTGAGGAAGACTAAACAAATGTCTAGGAAAAAAGTAGATCTTCAAGATGGTGTTTGAAATAGGGAGTCACATGCAAGACAACTACTTGGATCCACAATGTCCTAAAAATATATATATTTTTATGGTTGAATGCAGTCTTTGTGAAGTTTTATGAATAGGTTGGTACCTAAGTAGTCTGTTTGTCTAGACTTAGTGGTTGTGTGTTAATAATAAAGATCTTTAAATTCAGAATTACTTACCATGTGATATGCGAGTTCATAGTTTGAGGTTTTCATCACCTTTTTTTGGTGACTAAACTTTAGATTATGAGTATGGTCTTGTTTTTTCCTGTCTTTGTAAGCCTTAGTAGGTGCTTATAATGTTTTGGGCTTTGACTCTTGCTTTTTCTTTCTGCCCCTTAATAAACTACACCTCCCTGACACAGTTTATCTTCTTTCTTTCATTGTGCCCTGGTCAGCTGCCATTTAATGTCAGCAAAAGTATCATTATTTCTAACTAGACTTTTCCTTATTTCATCCACTGATTAAAAAATGTATATTAAAATGATTTCATGTCACGTATTTGTATGTGGTTAAAAAAAGAAATCTGCCCTTTTAGTTACACTGAAACTCAGTGAGAAGCCAGGAATAATGTGCTGAATAGCTGAACTTCAACAGCTGAACTTTAATAGCAGTTCTACTATTTAAAAAAGAAGCATAAGGACGTAAGACAGTCCCTCTTGGATAGGACAGCTGTCAGTTATCCTAGGTGATTGTTTGGGGAGATCCCATGAACCATTTTCCATCTTCCATTTACTAATACTGTCCCAGCATCCAGAATTGTATTAGAGGAGGGCGGGTCTCTGCTTCCTTCTTTCTGTATCTATGAGTTTATTAATTTTTAATTTGACTAATCCCTTTCTGAACCTGCTGAGATCATAGCATCTGTAAGGACAGAGTCTCAGAAGCTCTGTACAAATGAATTACTCTCTCTTTTACCTGCTTCAAACTGCTGTCTGACTGGTTCCATTGGGCACCTTTCAGTTCTTGCATTTCAGGATATGGTGATCAACAGGGGGGAGGAACATGCCCAAAACAGAGACCTGTGTGAATGACTATGTGTGAAGTGCTCACACCACACACTGGTTCTTACAGAGAGCATTTGTCCAGATCCTGTTTGTTGTTTACTTCTGTAGTCTGTGAAAAAAGGGAATATTCCATGTATTCGTTTCCAAAAATTCTTTAAAATTGTTGAGATGTCTTTCTGTAGCACGTATTTGTAGTCCTTCCAACACTTCACCTGGCTATTCCTGTTTATCTGCTAAAAGCTTCCCATATAGTAATTTTCAGTGATTTTTCAATTTACATGTGACTGTTGTGACTCCCCTGACATCATTATTCCTACAGTTCCACATTGATTTCAACATATTTTCCTTTTCAGATGGCAGTCTTAAGTTTTCCGCTTTTTCATTTTCTCCTCCACTGTGTTCAATATACTGTATTAACTGGTTAAATAGATACATTTGACCGTAAATTGATATGGCATGTCTACTTATGTCAAAAAATATATATAAAGCTTTGCAAATTTTCTTATATAGCTAGGCTGGTAAACTTGACCATCTCTCTAATGCTTTCTGTAATAATAGTGTGAGTCACTCGTAAATGTATTTTTTCTTATTTACATGCATATTTACAAAATAGCTTTGATGTTGGGAAAATGTGACTTTTATTCAATCTTCATTGCAGTAAGAAGCAGAGGTGATGCCTCAGCCTGACTGTAGCAGGAGAAGCAAAGAATACAAGAGGAGGCATGAGTATGGAGGAATCATGAACACTGCCAAAACAGATGCACAGTGAAGTATCACCATAAAGTTAACAGAAGGAAGGAGAAATGTAAAGGTAAGGTTTAAAATTAAAAGAGTGTTTTCTGTTCTTCTGTATTCTTCCTGTTGGGTCAAAGCAATGGTATCTTCTGTTGGGAAACGTTTTTTCAGGAAAAGTTTTATCAGAACTGTATCTTGTGACAAAGACAGTAAGTGATTGATTTGATTTACACTACATAATTATTCCCTCTTACAGGTTAAGTAAACTCTGGAGAGGGATTGGAATGAAAAATTAGATAGAAAAAACAGTGGGGAGACAATATCTGAGGGCAGGTCTACGTCTGCCTTGAATGTGAGGAACACTGGCCTAGGAAAGCTGATAGCAACATTAAAAGCCATGTATAAACTGCCTTTATATATAACAGTATTGAAATTATAACTCTATCTTTTGAAAATGGGAGTTACAGGAGAATAAAGTAGCTGAAGATCAGTCAATATCATGCCAGTAGCTTTAAGAAAAAGGGTTAAAGTCTGCAAAGTCCCCACATGTAGTGGGTGGATGTTTAAAAGTTCAAAAGACTCACATTAGGTAGTCTTAAATGAGTCAGTCTATTGAGACATCTGATCCCTCAAAGAAGAGGAAGAGGAAAAGAAAAATGTGGTTCAAATGTTGGAGCATGAATTAGGACAGAAAGTAACTGATAATGGACTGGGATCTGAAGCCACTGGTGTAATACTTAGTCTAGCCCTGAACTGACAAATTGTATGAAAGGTAGATAATCAGTTTCTGTCGTGAAATAGCTCCTCCCAAAATGTTTCCTCAAGTAATCTTATCATTCCCATCAACTCCTGAATTTCTAAAAATTTGAAATGTTTGACCCCCTGACTAAGTATGACTTTCTGTTGTCCAACCTATATTGTGTAGAATGAAATTCTTTGAGTTCTTTATCCTTTGTGGTTGCTTTCAGAAGAATTCAGAGTGCCTTGCACTGTCACATAGACAAAGCGATGTGACTATATTAACAATTTCCTCAACCTTCAAATCTTTTCTTGGCAAACACAGTTTCTTTAATAGGTCTTACATGAAATGTTCACTAACGTCTTAACACCAAATACCTTTTCAAACAATCCTAATCAAGCATGCTTTGCACTGTATCATTGCGTAACATGGAAGATACAGTCTGCTGCTCTATAGTTCTCTGTAGTAAGTGCAGCCAGTACAGATTTTTCATATGCTTAGGTATCTGCATACAAAACAGGAGGAAAAATAGATGGTTTCTTTGTTTGAATAAAAGAAAAGCCATAGCTTTGTTATCAGAGGCTTGGCTGAGTGATAACTTTATTTGGATTCTTGTCTATTAGTTTATCACCCTGAATAACCTATTGTGATTCATCTTTCCAAATATGAGTTATTTCATAAATCCTGTTGAAGAGAACAGCAGTGGAACTGAAGAGCTGTCATGGAGCTCTGCCAGTGAAGTCAGAGATGCAGTTAAAATATATCTGCACATAATTTCATCTCCTAGTTGCATGGGTTGAAGGCATGAATTCCAATACTCTCAAACTTAAAATGCTTAAATTAAGGATTTCTTCTCTTGCATATATTTAGAGTTCTTAAGGAGTGCTGTTTTAAAACTATTCAAGTGATCTAATTGGACATGTCATACCATATATTAAGAGAAATTTTGTCTTCAGAGACCTTTGGTGTTTATGACACAAGATGTTTATTATACTTGGTTATTATGATAAAAAGCAGTCCTGTTCTGGGATCTTCTGCTTCTCCAAGTTACTGCTTTTAATAGTTACTGTTTTTAATACTGCTTTCCACACTTGCTTTTGCAAACTGTATCTCTTATACAAAATAATCCCTCAGCTTGTCTTCACAATCAGACCCCAGGCACCCTCCACTGAGTATTTTCTTCCTTTTTTTTCAATGGGTGAAAGGGCAGCGTTGGTAATAACAGTTAATTGACCAGTGAAAACTATTTCTGCATATGTCCTGTAGAAAAGGACATTCTGTAACTTTGAAAATACACTTTTGGTAAGGGATAACATGGATGGCAAAAACTGTAATGATAATGTTGGACTTTTATTGATAATGTTAAGGACTAAAATGTCGATCCTGTGACGTGCTTTCAGTATTTCTGGAAATGAGTCTAATAGTTTAACCTTGGGGCGTATATTTAAAGCATACTGGTTAGTTTTTCGTGATGACTTTTCATCATTTCCTCTCAGTTCACATACCAAAATATATTTGAACTAATACAACACAACAGAAGCGATAATATAATCGCTTCCTATGGAGAGGCTAACACTTTTCCCTCTTAAAAGAGCTACATGAAGTCCAAAATAAATAAAACTTCTGGTGTCATGGGAAGCACAGGGTGTCATACAGTGAAGATGTCTAGACATGCCTATTATTGTGAAAACTGAAACTTGGTATAGAGCCTTTTGGATGTCTCTCATGCCTATGAAGAAGTATGAATGAGAAAATCCTAATCTTTCCTTTCATATATGCTCTGTCATAACAACAAATATAGTATCTGGAAATAAACACTTTCATATTCCTGGCAATGTCCTGAAAGAAATGGAAACATCAGTGTTCCTCAGTATTGACAGAAAATTTCCTCTTGTCCCAGGACCTAACAAGTTGCATTCTGCTAATGCTGCAGTGTGGTGGCATATACAACAGGTTCAAATATATTCATGTTATCACGAGTCAAAGTGGGCATTTGAAAATATGCTCACCGCTGCTAAGTTAGGCTCCATGTTTGGGTAACATTTTTACAAATCCTAAAATTCAAATGTGTTGTAGTATGAAAAATTGTTAGAAATAAAAAGCAGAAGGGCTTGCTTATTGTTTGCTCTACATTTTGTTGCTTTTAAAATATTTTTCCTGTGCAGTTAAGAAAAAAATGTAAGAAAGAAGCCTTCATAGCTCTGAAACATCATGGAATGTGAATTGGAAATAATCAGGTCATTATCCACATTATCCACAATCCACAGTCCTGTTAGACTAGGCAATATTTACAGTCAAATAAGTTATCAGAAAAAATACTGTAAAAAAAAGTTTTGTGTATTTTTCACCAATAGGTATTTATGTAAAACCTAGAACATTCAATATGAACAGGCTGATCAGCACTCATCTCAAAGCTGCATGGTCCTTAATGTATTGAAAATTACAGTAAGATTCACTGTTTTTTCAGTAGGGTGAAAATCTGAGTTAATGGTTTGCGAATCCATTGTTCAGAACTCAGTATTTTAGGTCTATAAAGGCTAAGAATTAGGGCTTTGTTTCCAAATATCAGACACTCTCACCTGTCACTAGATAGGGAGTATGAAGTTAAAATCCCAATGTTTTTATTTAATGAGGAACAGTGAAGTTAGAAAAAGAACAACTAGCCAACATAGAAGACAACTTGTCAAACTTAATTTTTTTTATTGAAGTAGATCTCTAATGACTGTTATTTCAAATGACTTTGTTTCTGAAAGAAAACACTGGAATACTTTGCAACACAACTGCAGATGATGTTATTAAGATTCACGTAGTGAGGTTTAAGGGAACAGTACCTTTCTCTTAGCTTTGAGCTGCTCATGATATTTGTCGGATGTGTCGCCTGGTATTTCTCCTCCCCAGAGAGTAATTCCCACTATGGAATAAGTGATGCCCATGACAAGCAGTGGGAAACAGTAGACCAGCACAATCACAATGACATGATACCTGCAATGAAAAAGCATTAGGCTGATAAGTGCTTTCAGAGCTGATGGAATGGGCTGCTAAAAGTCAAGTGCTGTTGTAACGCGAAGCATGTTTGATATTGATTGGCTAGTCCTTGGTGCTTTCACTGTCTTTTTGAAAAAGTCTTGAATTGCACTGCAAATTTATTTACATTTTAATGCAAGTGCTTTCTGGGGTCTCTAGCTCTGATTCTACTAGCATAGATTAAGAATGACTCTATAGTAATCATGATTACTGACTGCAGAATAAGTTACCTTTGTCCATGGCTTGCTGAATTGATTTATTTATTCCACAGTCAAGTATCCTAAGGGCAAGCTAAGGGTTCTGAGCTCTAGGCTTGACCATAAATGAAAGAAGAAAGCCAATACTGAAATACCAGTTTTATACAAAGACACTGATAAGCATCCTCTGTACATGTGCTTCACATGCTGTATCTGTTGCGCGATATCGGCATCTCTGCTGACTTAAACATTGGTAAAAAAGGGTAATTTCTTTTGACTCCTGTTAGGTCCATGTTAAATGCCATCTTCGCATAAAGTTCCTGTGAATGATCAGTGAAGAATCCCCAGCTGTCTCTGAGAGTGGCCTTACTGCCCTAAAGATAAATACCCGTGGATGGCTCCTACAGTGATACAAATTATATATGATCAGGGCCTCTTTCACCTGCCCAAAGGAAGAAGAAAGGTCAAATTCAATGATGTATGGTTGCACAGGTTTTCAGCCTTGGACACAGAGTTCATCTTAAATACCAATGAGGACATGAAAAAAGGGCAAATGATGTTTCTGTGCCTAGATAACCACTTATTCCTAATTCTACCAGAGGGACAAATAGAGAATATATTCAATTTAAGTGGCTGTTATTCCACACTTTCAGAAACTGGAGTGAATTACAAGATTTACAATTTTCTTATTCAAACTGATGTTTGAGATAAGTAAGTGTGATAACGTAACAGAATAAGGTGGGAAGATCCAAACCTCTCACAAAAAGAACCAGAGGAAAAAAATCTGACTGTGACAAGGAGAGGCTGGAAATGCTTGTTTTCCTGTTAGGATAAACTGGGAGCTTGCTTTGAATCGGGAATTCTGTCCCCATTTCTGACCAACTCTGTATGGAAGTAGTAATTTTAAGCGAGGCAATGATGGTAAACATTGCAGCATGGAATGGAAAATGCTCGTGGAAGAGAATAAATATTTTTTTTCCACTTATCACTTAAATGCACCATCTTCCTAGCTCAGAAGGCCTGCTCTCAATGACTGATGCTGTTAGCTATTCTCTGCGTAGCATCTGCTGCAAGTGTAGACATCACCATGCACAAGTGTAAAGGAACAAAAGCTTA